TATTTCACGTGACGCTCTAAGAGTGTTAGAAGTGCGATAATATTTCTAAATAAACTTTGCTTCGATGCTATCACCTGTTTTTAACTTGGTTACGTTGTGATCGTTTGAATTATAATTTTATGAACTGATATCCATTGAAATTGTTTCACGTGACGCTCTGAAAGTGTTAGAAATGCGATAGCATTCTAAATTTTACTATCACCTGTTTTTTTACTTGGTTACGTCATGACCGTTTGAATTATAATTAAATTACGAACTGATATTCATTGAAATTGTTTCACATGACGTTCTGAAAACGTTAGAAGCGCGATAGTATTTCTAAACTTCGTTTAGACACTATCAGCTGTTTTTTACTTGGTCACGTCATGACCGTTTGAATTAAAATTAAATTACGAACTGATATTCACTAAAATTGTTTTACATGACGTTCTGAACTGCGACAGTATTTCTAAACGTCGCTTTGATACTATCACCTGTTTTTTACCTGCTTACGTCATGACCGTTAGAATTAAATTGCTAATCGATAATTTGCTGTCTGACAATTTGCGTTTCCTCGAAATTGTCTTATATTTCGTTGTGAAAACGTAGTCCGATAATGCTTGCAGATAAACTTCGCCCCGAAGGCTATTCGTATTGACTTACCTGGTCCGATCGTGGCTTGCGTATTCGCGGAACACTCGTAAATCTCTGTAAACCTAAATGACGCGTTAGAAGCATACGTGCGATCATCACCACGCATTGCGTTTGCGTACATATGCAGATAGAGTGGTGAGACATTTCGGTCGTCGAAATTTCAGAATGATAAGAAAAACAAAAAAAAAAGAAGAAATGTCGTAACTATTACAACCGTCTGCGAGATTATTCGTAGACACGAGATTAAAAAGAGAAACGTACGATAGTCAGCGAGTATCGCGCGTGACAGATGAAAAAACTGTGCACGCGGCCAATAAATGTCTGAAAACGTTGAGAAAAAATTCTGATCGGTAGATAACCTCGGCTATACATATAGAACTTTTTATATGGTCACACGATATCAAGATAGAAAGACTAGAAAGATTTTAGTCGACTTACACAGTTCAACAAGTTCAAGTTCAACTTGCATAATATCTCATTATCATTTTTAACGTGCCAAGGAGAATAGGTATAAAGCTCGCGCGTAAAACGGTTTCCTCGTTCGCGAATAATAATTAACAGGGGCTTATCAGACAACGAGAAGAATGAAAAAAAAATGTAGACGTTCGTAGACGAAACGATCGATCATCCGGAATTATTCAAACGATCAGATAAAAATAATCCACCTACTGTTCTACTTATCTACTGTAATTAACAACCATTTGCATTAATAATCCATAATGCGAAAAAAATAGTTTCCTTTAACTATAGCCGCCTTCGTCCATTTCACTGTTAGACAACGGAAGGGTGACGAAGCGTGCGGATGATAAACGATATTCCGTACTTTTTAATACGATCGTAATTACATAAGACCAGTAGGTGTATCTCATGTATCACGCGATCATTAATTTAATCGTGAACCCGTGTCAATCAGGCGCAGCGTCTTCCGAGCGCGATATTAAAACGATAACAAGATGTACAACTAATTCGTTTACGTTTTATCAGTAGATTATTACATAATTCTGCTAATAAAATGTTAACGTACGCTAGAAAGCGATATAATTACGATCCGCGTCTGGGGTCAGGTCAACACGTGGTACATCGCGCGATTTAATCGTCGCCGATCGGAATAATCTCGACTAAGATGGAGGAACATTAATTCTTCTGGTTATTCATACATAAGTACATATCCCTCGTGCCGTCGGGTGACGCAAAGTCCGAACCAATTGACGTCGAATGAATTTCTAATAATATGATATTCCTTCGTAACCGTGCATACGTATTTATCTCTCGGCTATGACAAACATAATCTCGTTCCCTAATTGCGAAAATTGTCTCTCACACGTAACACCGAATTTTTTACGCTCGATCGTTACTGCGACTCGGGTGTAGGAGATTTTTTTTAAGGTATCGCCGCGCATCGGATGAGGGTGGGGACGATGGTAACTGCGGCCGAGGGCAGAAGTGCATATAAAGTCGGCGTTAAATTGATTTATCCCAAAGTGAATCCAATTGAAATCACTCAATTAATCGCGTGTCGAGGAGAGGCGGATAGTTACCGCAGCATAATATGATCACCGAGACAGGCAAAGATTCAAGGAAATAGTCTCCATCCTTGCCCTACATTCATAGAATTTCAGATTAGGATAAAAAGTTTGTCATCGGTCATATAATTTTTATAT